GTTCTCCCTATAAACAGGCCTGGACTTTCTACCAACCACTTGAATTTCTTCAGTGGAAGCTAGGCTCTGCAGAGGGGAGCATACTGTGTGCAGTGACTACTACCCAGCTCTTCTCCCTCCCTACTCCTAGAATCACACTAAGATTTGTGAAGTCTCTTGCAAATCCCTCTTCTGATGTTGTGGGGTTTCCTGCCCATATTTGTTTCCACCCCCTCAGTAGCTAACAGGTGCTCCTAAATTCCCTTTCCATAGTTGGTCATCAAGAGCAATGTTCCCTCTAATGTTTTCTGTCCGTTTGTGGAATAAATGTTATGTGCACTGAAGCATGTGCAGATGTGCACCATCAGCAGAAACACATGCTGGTGGCTGTGGGTGCTCCACGAATGAGCTGGGTGTCACTTGACTCTCTCTTGGGTGGCTGCTCAAGCACACAGTTTACAGGAAACACTAATCAAGAGTCTCTCCATAATAACTGTTTGGGGTAGAGATGTTATGTACTTGATGTCAACCTGGAGGGGAATTTGGGGACCAAGAATGTGAAAAAACAGTTCACACAGCCTTCATGGAGGGGAGAGGTTTCTTTCCCACTGCAAACATGTGGTGCAGTTTTGACCTCCCCCCTCCTTTTTCCTGCTTCCATCTAGCTGTATCTGCTGACGTCTGAACCCTTCTGCTCTTTCTGCACTAGCCCATCACTCTGCACAGTCCATCTTGCCTGCCCCAATCTCCCCAGTTGCACCAGGCTTTGTAATATGCTGTCCATCTAACCTCCAGTTGCCAGTTACTACGGAAACCAATTTAATAAATGTAACTGGTAGTCCCACTCGTATGTGCAGAAGCCTGAGACATCTAGGTCTTCTCATGGAGGGAGAGGAAACAGTCACCAATTCAAGTTAGAGATTGTGTGTCTCTACAGTCTGCTGTCTAATCCCTAGGGACCAGCGTTGGGCACAGGGAAAAGCTCATCTGACATTGTATCTGTGACTTGCTCAGAATGAACTCAGCATGCCTCTGTTTAATATTTTCTTTGTGTATAAATCTATTCCTGGTGAAAGGTGTAGGATTGACAGCCCTGGAGATTGATTCCCTCTTTTCCAATGGAACAAGTACAGCACCGGCAGCAGCAGAGTAAGCTTTCTCTATGGAAGTGACTTCCAGAGATGAGACGGGAACTCGGTGTATATCACCAGTCCTTGACTCCTCTGTTCATACTACCAATCAGGAGCCCAGTTAGCGGCAGTTTCAACTGAGTCTTTTTTGTCTCGTGTGACCACTTGTTCCCGGGAATGGAATCAAGATCCCAAATTTATTTCACGTAGCTACTATAAAACTATAGCACCTTTCAGACATTTTTGTTAAAGGTGTCAATTGAACTGGTAACTTAAAGGTGACCCTTAGATTGGTTGTGTCCTCCATTTTGAGCATGGAGAGTGAAAGCCGTTCAGCCACTCAGACATGTTAGAAATCATGTTGGTGAGAGTGTGGCATGAAATCACTTCTCCCTGGCTGCGTTCTGTGTGAGTTAATCAAGAGCTTCCTTCTAGTATATGTAATGATGAACAAGAAGTGTTTTTCAAATACTGGAAGCTTGCATCTCATGACTCCTTCAGTGATAGAATCGAAGTTGTGCTGATGGTTTTAGTTTACTTTAACTTGAGTAATCGAACAGGCAAGAGAACTTAGCAGGTCAGGATGAAGTCAGGACTTTACAGAGACAAAAACTCCAGAAAAAATAATTATGAGAACTTGTTCAAATAAACAGAATTAATTCATTTTGACTGTGTTAACGAACCTTTTGATTCATTTTCCACTGAAAATCAGAAGAGTACATTTTTGGTTTGCAAGAATTTTCACTGTCAACGATTGGGTCACAAATATTCTCCATAAATATGTGGTCACCTGAGAGCCAGATTTCTTAAAGATATTTGGGCTCCAAGTGAGATTTCCCAAAGCAACTGGGTGCCTAAAATTCATCAATTTCAATGGGTGTTAGATACCTAGATGCTTTTGAAAATCCCACTAGACCTGTGGTGTTCAGCACACTAGCCACATGTGGCTATTTGTCTGGTTGAATGTGGCTAGTTCACTATAGCAGTAACCACTATAGTGGCTACTGCTTCAGAACTGGCTGGACACCATGGCACTAGGTGCTTAATTAGCTTTGAAAATCTGGTCCTGAGTGTATAAGCAGCAGTCATGAAAGCTGTTGGTGGGGTTGATATTTGTCCAATAAGAGAACAGAAACAATACTATGTGACCAAACGAACAGTGAATGTGAAATTATGATGCAATCATTGTGATGGGTAGTTTGCAAGAGATCCATAAACTGCCATATGATTACTTAAACCAACCATCAAATAATCTGGAAGAACAAACACGTGACATCTCTAAAAGTCAAAGAGCATTTGCAGACAATCTGTTAACAGAAAAAGGGCCAAAACTTCAGCATAATCTGTTGTGAATGGTTCACCAAACTCTAATCAGAAGCCACACTGGATACAAAAGAGAGCAGCAGACTTGGACTATACATGGCAGGAATAGTACTCAGATACAAGTGATGAGGGCCGTACAAGAACTTGTATGGAATAAAATGGATGTTCATGACTCTCTTTCTATCCATAAGTAGTTCCAGCAGTCTAGCAATGGATGTCCAAGCTATTTAGGATACATTACTCCTGGGAGAATTCTACAAAAAAAAAAGTGTCCAATATTTTAAAATTCTGCATATTTTGTCAAAATAACACAATATCAATTTCAGTTATTTTGGTAATTTATTTCAAAATACCTGTCCGCAATTATGTCTGTAACAATGCAGATAAGAAGGATTCAGAAAATGTTTTTTGACAAATAGATTATTTACTAAGCATATAAACACAGAACTCTTGAGTAATAAATTCTTGAGTAATAAAACATTTAAACTACAATACAGAACTATATTTCCCTCACCCCTCAAAAGTAGTGCAAAAGTTTGGGGGAGTTAGGGGTAGCGGAGGCGTTGAGGGAGAGGGAATTAATTGCAGGGAAGGAGCATGGGTATTAACTTTTAAGGTAGTTGGGTAAACTATGAAATAGGGTAACAGGGTGGGATTTTGTTTATTTGTTTTTGGGGGGGGTTGTTTTTGTTTGGGGGGACAGGGTTGCGAGGCAGGGAGGAAGTGTTAAAGAACTTCCCCCATACTGACCCTTAGCATTTCCCATTCAGTCAGGCACATCTGCCCCTGCCCCAATGTGTCCCTGAACCCCCCATGTGGCCTTGCACTCCCGTCCACATGTGTCTTTGCACCCCCTTAGAGCCAGCCTCCTCTCACCATCCACCTGCTTTCCTGCAACCCCTTCCCCTGTCCCCATGTGTCTCTCTGCCCCCTTTCAGCTCCTCCCTTTCCCTCATGTGGCCCTGCACCCTCCTCCCCCCGTGGCTTTGTACTTCTACTCCCATTCAGCCCCTGCCCCAGTCTGTCCCCCCCCCGGTCCTTATTCACCCCTGTCTGTAACCCACTTGCCCCCGCCCAGCAGACCCATGTGCCCCACAATGTCTCCTGACCAGGGCTGGCCCACAACATGAGGCGGGGAGCTCAAATGACATCCCCATGCTCCCTTGCTTGGGCCAAAACTTTGAAAGGTCTCAATTTTCTGGGTTCTAGTGGTGCCCGCCCCACAGTCCAGCACCTGAGGCGGCCACCTCAGTTCACCTCATCGTAAGGCCAGCCTTTCTCCTGACTTAGCCTAACAGGCACTGTGAAGAAGGCGCTGCAGGCTCTTTCTCTTTCTTATCATAGCTGGAGCTGGCCAGGAATGGCTACTCCGTTTTAGCATTACAGCACCCTCCGGTGGGCAGAAATATGGAACAACAGAAACTTTCTGGCAGAAGCTTTTTTCTGTGGGAAAAAAATATAAATATGCACAGCACATGAATTATGTGCATGTTCATAAGTGCAAAATTCCCCCCAGAGTAATATATCTATACGGCAAGCAGTAGCCTCCTGCAGCAAGTCTCAGAGCCCAAATCTATAGACTGTGGCTCCTGGGTCTTATTAAAAACAGCTGTGTAGACATTCAGGGTACGTCTAAACTACATGGCTCCGTTGACTTGTAGATTTGTTATTTGTTTAAATAATCGCGGCTTCATTTAAATTTAAATGGCTGCCGTGCTGAGCCGACATCAGCGCGCTAGTCTGGACGCTCCCCTGCCGACATGAAAGCCTTTTATCGACCTCCCCGGTAAACCTCATCCTACGAGGCATAACGGGGAGGTCAATAAAGGGCTTTCAGGTCGGTGCGGGAGCTGATCAGCTGTTTGTTGGCTCAGCGCGGCAGCCATTTAAATCGCGGCTTCATTTCCCTTTGTCGATCAGCCTAATCTACATGGCTCCATCGATGGAGCCATGCAGTTTAGACACACCCTCAGGTTTGAGCTGGAGCTTGGGGTCAGAAGCTACAAGAAAGGGGTGGATTTCAATCTGTAAAGCTGATCTCTAGTTCTTCCTACTACTGTATAACTAATAATAAACAAAAAGTGTTTTCCAAGAAAGAAAGCTGTCTCTGTGGAGGTATCCTTGATTTCTGCTTCACATGAGCAACCCATCTAACAGTCCCATCCCACCTACCTACCTGCAGTTCCTCTTTTGCATGAACTTTCTCCCGGTTTGTTCTTCTGTAGGTTCTATTCACTGTCTGCAGATCCTCATTGCAGGCCTCACTCCTGCCCACTTGCTGCCCCATAGCCCATCATTCCTAGCTCCAAATCCTCACCCACAAGAACCTCCACACACACACAACTTTTGCAGACATCCTTTGGATGCCACAGATCTCTTCCAAAGGCAGCGTATAGAGGACACTTGTCACACTTTGCATGGGGGTATATCTTTCCCTCCATTCCTCCAAAGGTCCTCTGTCTGCCCTCCCTGCTGCTCTCCTCTGAAATATCTGAGAAGGGCAGCAATATCAGATATATAGGGCAGAAGAGGAAGTGTTTGTCTAATGCCAATGTCATTGCTTGGCAGGTATTCAGTGGTATCAGACACAGACACAGAAAGCATTTTCATGGAGCCTATCCACCTGTCCTCTGCGGTAGCTGCTAAACAGATAATCAGTGAAGGTAAGAGGGAAAAGGGTAAGAAAGAAAGACTTTGGTTGTATTTGATTAGCCTCTTTCATCTTGGGATCTTAAAGTGCTGAACAAACTTTCATGAAGTCTCATAATTTACACACCATGAGGTAGATAGGTTTTTTCCATTTTACATACTATCACACAGAAATGTTTGGAGACTTGCCTTAAAGTTACACAGTGAGACAGTGGCAGAGTCGTAGAATACAGCTGCCTGCTCTAACCAGAGGCATTGAAATGGAGGAGTAGGGGGCAGGGAGTTATGGCCCCCTCACTTTTAAAAACAGGACTGTAGCCTCCCATTTTGTACTGTAGGGAAGGGTGAGTAATGGGGGGAGGAGAAAACAAGCAGGGGGCCAGGTCTCAGGAAGAAGGGGTGGGGAGCTGGGAAGAAGCAGGGAGTGGACCATGGTTTAGGCACTGGAGGCCCCCACAAACACTTTTAGGGAGGTTCTGTCTCTCCTGCCTCTAACCACTGGGAAAGCTGCCTTCCCCCATATGCTTGGGATTAAGATGAGACTGCCCAAACTCTTTTTTCAGTTGTTACTTTAGCCAACATAGATCTACAAGGGATGAAAGGAAAGGTTACTGTGCTCAGTCCCCTATTAATTGTCTTGAAGCTATTGCCTGAGCGCGCACACATGCACAGATTTTAGGCTGGGTGGGTGGACATTGCTGAACAAAAGGATTGTCTCCAGAGAGAAAGAATAGTGAGTTCTTCACATGCTTTGAGTGACAGTCAGCTCATTCCAGAGCTGAAGACAAAGGAGGTCAAAGTGGATTCAGAATGTCTGGGGATGTTGGAGTCTGCAGAGCAGCTGCTGGTGGAGGACCTGTACAACCGAGTGAAAGAAAAGATCGATGACACCAGCTTGTTCAACACACCGTGCGTGATGGACTTGCAGAGGGCACTTATGAAGGACAGGCTGGAGTCCCCCTGGGATCCTGTGGATGAAGTCTGGCCCAATGTCTTTATAGCAGAAAAGTGAGTATGATCTTTTGTCATTGAGGTTGCACAAAATTCCTAGTGAAGAGTTACTAAAGTCACCTCAGCATAATATATATTACATGCAGTGCTTTTTTTGTGACGGTACTGCCCGGTACACAATACCGGCACCTCCTGATGCAGTACCTTTTCCCTGGGGGCCCCGGCCTTTTTTTTTTTTTTTTTTTTTTTTTTTTTTAACAAAAAAGCACTGATTACTTATAATGCCTTTCAAATGCACAGATCCAAAGACAGTTTACATTTCTTGTGTACAAAGATCTCACTGCACTGCAAAGCAATCACTTCTGTGAAAAACCACAGCTTTTCCACAACACATATTGACACTTCAGAACAGTTTGGGAAAGGAGGTGAAGAATACCGTATCCAATTAAAAGCACCAAGGAAACTGTAAGCAAAATGAACCCTCCTAGACACCAGGACAAACACTTATTCCTTCAAAAAAAATGGGGGGAGAGGGGCGAATCCCATGTAATTTACTGAAGACAAGTGGCCAGGGCTTCTGTTTTATAGCTCTCCCAAAAGACCTTCAGCAGCCTAGTACTGCCTAGCATTGTGCTGAGGGCATTGTTTCAGCACCAACAGGGAAGAGTGCTATGTGATTAATCACCAGTAATGTGTCTGGTAGCATTTGGCTTCTCTTTGAGCATCTCACAAGCATGTACTGAAGGTAAACTGCTAGAAGATGACTTGAGAGAGTGCTATTCTTCTGGGTAATCTTAGGGTGGAGAAAAGAAAGTTACTGTGTCTACAGACACCACAGTCTCCTGGACTGGACATACCTGCAGTGGGTCTTGTCTTCTATTCACCCAAATGAGATCGGAACCCTACACTAAGCTGCTGAGTTGGCTCTGTCTCCTGCTCCCATCTCACTTTTGCCATTGACAGATCCTGACAGCATGTGTTGATTGCTACTCACAGTTCTAAAATCTACATCAGCCATTTGAGAAACAGAAGAGTCAGATGGATGGGTAGAAAGGGTAAACCTACATCTCCGTTTCAGTGTTTATGAAGCAGAGGCAGCCCAACAGATAGAATATTCCTTTAAGCAGAGGTGAGGTTGGGAAGGGTTGCACTGAGTTGGTGACTGATTACTTCTCTGTGGCACAGTTTTGTGCTCGAGAATCTCAGCTTTTATTTAACAATTTCTGGCTCTTATGATTGCAAAGGAAGCTTCAAAATGCAAACAGAGTCTAAGCAATCCCCTGCTAACTCTAACCCTAACCATAGCAATGTACATGTAAATATTGTTAATGTTGTGAATATTATCAATGAAAGCGTCCAAGGAAGGAGAGGGACTATCATATTTTGAAGATTTGAACAGTCTACTGTGAGTGTAATCTTATTTTGAAGTCATGACTGGATGGAGCATGAGACAAGCTTGGGAGAGTATCCTCACATAGTGCTTTTTTCCAATCTGCCTCTGGGCTTAAGGAAAAAGGGGAAGTCCATGCATGGAAGTATTTCTAAACTGCTGCTAGGTCAATCTAAGTGCACAAATTATACATATTAAAGATCTCATCTTTCAATATCATGCTCATTTTCTTGCCCTTAGATTATTCAGGACTTCAGTACATATCCCTTCCCTGATAACCTGGTCCTTTTCTGACCCTCACATGTCACTGGACTGTTACAGATATCGCTCCACAGCATTGATTGGGCTGACAAAGAGTTACATCCAGCTTCGTTGGCCACTCTCCATGCCCCATTGAATTCATTCTCTTCTCTTCTTTTTTCTTTTTGATCAAGCCTCTTACTGACATTTCCTGTTCTAATACCACCTTTGCTGGTTACATAGACAATGGTCTGGCTCTCTCCAACCTCAGAACAGGCTACAACTTCTAATGTTTATTTTTTTCTCTTCCTTGGAGGAGTGTGGCAGTGAACAAGGGCCGTCTGAAGAGGCTTGGGATCACTCATGTCCTGAATGCAGCTCATGGTACTGGGGTGTATACAGGGCCAGATTTCTACAATGGTTTGAATATCCAGTACCTGGGCATTGAGGTGGATGATTTTCCAGATATGGACATTTCCAAATACTTTCACCAGGCGGCAGAGTTCCTTGATGAAGCACTGTTGACCTACAGAGGTAAGATAAGGAGATTGGCCTAGTTCCGGGACACTTGGAAACCCCGTGATGCAGGAGGCACCATAGAGAATACTTTGGACCAGATTTCTGGTTATCCTTTGGCTTAATTGTGCATGGCAGATGGGAGGATTTCTAGTGAATACCCCAGGCCTAGTTCTGCACTGCCTCTACAGAAAACCCAGGCACAGTGGGCATTCCAAGATGTGAATATGTCAAGAATGGACTGGAGGTGGCAAGGGTGGCTCAGGGATAGGAAGAGAGATAGCTGATGTAGTCCTGCAACCCAGAGATCCCCTGCTGCAAGCCCTGCAACTGAATCTGCTGATCCCATGCCCAAGTGTTGGAGCTGACGAATATGCTTCTTTCAGCCTTTAGCAAGTGCTACTATTGCAATAATATCCAGTTGTTGGTCAAGGCTATCCCTCACATTCACTAGGTTATCTATATTGTACAGAACAATAGGGACCACTGTGCTATTGAAAGAGAAAAGAGGTGATGTGTTTCTGGGTGGTTATAGCAAAATCCTGCTTGCTCTTTTGGACCTAAATTCTATGGCGACACACCATGCTCTGGTTATTTCTAGGGAACTCTAGTACAGCACATCAGAAATTCTGCAGCAGTATCAGCTAAAATAAAAAATAGAGCTCTAAATTGAACTAAACATGAAAGTGAATATTAAATTCAGTCTTTGGTATCAATCGTGTTATTTATTTTCATATTAAATTCACTTAATTTTATTCTGCCCTTACATTTTGAATGCGCTGCTAATTTTTGTGTTGACAACATAACTGCATTGCAAAAGTTCTCAGTAGGAAAAGCTGATTAGCTAATAGGAGGCAGCTGGGCCTCCTGGCGTGCAGGAATTTGTGAGAGGCAGTTTGGGATTATAGAGGATGTTGAATGTTTCTGGTAAAATATCAATAGTGAAATAACTGACACTTTAGATTTGCTTTGTTGGATTTCAGAGTGAATAGCACATTGATGATGTACATGGGATAAATGGGAGAAGTTCAAACATCTGAGACATATTGTTTCGGGTTGTCTTTGGATTCAGGCAGACACCAGTGCATCAGTAATGCTTCTGTCCTGTTCAGAAGGGGATTTGATTTCATTCTCTTATTTTGGTAACTGTATGAGCTAGAAAAGTAATTTAAAGAGAAATAAATCTTCCATTTTGGAGCACTTTCAGTAACAGGTAGGCTCTGTGGCAAATGCCATGGAACATAGAATATATGGTGCCTTTATTATAACATGTCTTTGATGGTATTATAAGGTAGTGGAGCAGCTGCGTCAGGTTATCAGATTGCGAGGTCAGCTATACCCATCCGCCACCCGGCTATTTTACTCCAAAGACCCAATATGACTCTGCATGCGCATCAGTTTTGACCTATAGCAGACTCTAGATTTAAGTTCACTTGAACAGGGCAGATTTGAGTCCTGGCAAAAATGCAATTAATAATTTTATGTATCAAAGGCTCTAAAAGTGTTTTACAGACATTAACTAATTAACTAATTTCTCCTTCTAATGGCCTTTATGACCCTAGCCATGAATATTCATTCTCATTTGGGAGACTGAAACATGGTGCAGGTAAGTGAGCTAAAACAAGGTCACACAACACGTCAAGAGTATTGTAAGGCTCAGATCACTGACGTAGTAAAGGGCTTTGAGATTCTTTGATTAAATCCACTGTATGAGTACAAACTATTAATACAATTTCTGTAGTTAGCTTAATTTAAAATGTGTCTATCCATAGCTCTTGACACATGTGCACTTACTTGATATTATTTTGTCTCAACTTTTAATTAAGATAAATCAGAAAATAAAACAAAGAAAAATACTTAACTTCGGTCTGATCTAAATCCCAGTGAAATCAAACATCCATTGACAACAGTGGACTTTGGATCGGGCCTTATGGGATAATTGCTGATTAACCTTTGTAGGTTGTTGAAAGTGTCTGACACTTTTATATTTCATACCTGTAGGTAAAATCCTGGTAAACAGTGAAATGGGAATCAGTCGCTCGGCTGTGCTGGTGGCTGCTTACCTGATGATCTTTCACCACATGACCATCTTAGAAGCCCTGATGACTATAAGGAAGAAGCGTGCCATTTACCCCAATGATGGCTTTGTGAAACAGCTCAGGGAGCTCAATGAGAAGCTGCTGGAGGAACGAGAGGAGGAAGATGCTGGGGGTGATGATGACACAGCCAGCCAGAGTTCTGTCATTGAAGCAGGGACCCAGTCCTTGCTGTCTGGAGTGGAGGTCTCTGAGAGTGTTATGGGAGCCAAAGTGCACTCGATCACGGTGGAAGAAGAGGATACCACCAGCATTCTGGGAAGTGTTATGAGTTCTTCATCCATGGGAAAATCTAGCTTGGTTTCCAAGCAGCCTACTCTCATCAGTGAGGAGGAGGAGGAACAACTGTATGAGGAATGGAGACAGAAGCAAGGCCTGCCTGCAAGGGAACCACCAAATCAAGATGTGGAAAACATACCTCCAAAACTTCCAGATCAGGGAGGGGAAGAATCTGAGGAGAATGTGCAACAGATGATCCGAGAGTGGCAGAGTCGAAATGCAAAATATGAAAAAGAAGGTTATTGGCTATCCAGGGAGGAGGATGGAGCCTCTAACAAGGGAGAAATGCCGTACCCTTCAAGTGAATTGGGTGACACAGAGAGTGTGAGCAGCCTTGATATCCAAATCTTGAAGCAACAACTGGAAGCCAGCAGCATCAACAGGTTGAGGAGGGGTCGCACAGACTCTGTGTCTACAGAAAGCACCTGGGATATGTGGAACCAGAGACTGCTGGAGATTGAGAAGGAAGCTGCTCACAGATACCGTTCTGGGAATAAAAGTGACAATGACAACCCAGAACCAGGACCAGAAAGAACGGGCAGAGATGTGGATGAGGAGAGTGTTATCTCAGACACCAGCTCCTTTTATAACTTCTGCAAAAAGAACAAAGACAAACTGACCCCTCTTGAAAGGTGGAAGATCAAGAGAATCCAGTTTGGCTTTCACAAGAAGGATGTAGACTCTTCTGTTCTTCCCAAGATGGAAGAGGGAAGCCAACTAGGTGAGGAGGCAGCTGTCGCAGAAGAAGAGAGGGATCTATCGGATGTTAGCCTGACAGCTTATCAGGCCTGGAAAATAAAACACCAGAAGAGGGTGGGCAGTGAGAACAAGGACGATATTGTGGAGTTTGCCAAGGGTGAAGATTCTGCTTCAGCCAAAAGGAAGCAGAGGAGAGTGGAGCTACTTGAACATTCAAAAAAGATCCTGGAAGAAAGCCAGTCCCTATGCGGCTGGGAGACAGAGAGCGCAATGAGTGGGAGTATCCCACTGTCATCTCTTTGGCTCTCAGCACCTTCCATAAATGGTGTTGAGGATTCAGCTTCTTTGCTGAGCATGCAGAGCAACCATTCATCTTTATCTCAGAACAAAAGCAGAGCTGGGGCTATGCAACCCCAAATGCCAGCCACACCTCTCCCCAACATCTCAGTTGGTCCAAATGCTGTGATATCCATGGCCAGCATTCAGAACTGGATTGCCAATGTGGTTAGTGAAACTATTGCTCAGAAACAAAATGAGATAATGATGTTGTCCCGTCCGCCCTCCTCCTTGGCCTCCAGTGTGAAGTCAGGTGACCTTGGCAGATGCCTTGATGATGACAAGGCCTCCCTTCACAGTGCACAGAGTGGCTTGTCTCTAGCAAGCTCTCTGCGCTGCCCGAGGGACGTGAATGGTGTTGACACCCAGTCTGTTCTGTCTTCCAGTGCCTCAGTAAGTGAGAGGACAAGGGGATCTAGCTCTAGCCTGAGGGTGACTCAAACAAGCAAGCCGCTGTACAGCCTCTTTGCAGATGACATTGACCTGAAAAAACTCAGCCGGAAGGAGAAGGAGATGCAAATGGAGATGAGAGGGAAAATGTCAGATTATCAAATTGAAAAGCTTGTCAGAGACAACAAGCGTAGCACTTTATTTAAGAAGAAGAAGGCCAAAGGAGAAGATGAAGAAGAGAAAGTCGAAGATGACAGAGTGAACACAATAGGTGGCATCCGGTACCCCTTCCAAACAGATCCTGACAAAACTGATACAGCTTCTTCTTACTCGGATCAGTTTGCAAATACTGGTGCCATGAATTCAGAGGTGGAGACCAATATTAATAAGTGGCTCAGTGGCCTGAAAGAAGAAGGAAATACATCATATCATGACCATGCTGAAAAGGCTAAAGAGAAGTACAATAGATCATCCACTCTCAGAGAGATGAATTCTGAAGCATCCAGGTATAGCTTCTCCAGATCCCAAAGTGAAGAGGTGGACAGTTCTTCCTATCTGTCCAAAGGTGATTCACTGAGAACAACATCAAGATTTTCCTCTGCCTCTTCAAAGGAGGATAAGGAGATGTACAAGTTCACACGAATGAAAGCCAGAGAGACAATTTCTAGGGAAGAAAGCCCAGAGCCATCCTATGACTCTGAATCCCCTGGATCATCAACGCAGAGTCGAGTCAGATCCCGTCATTTGGAAAAATCTGAAGAGGAGTCTAGTTCCAACATGTCAGAATTTGGAGCAAAGAGAAAGTTTATTCAGAGTTTTTCAAAGTCTGAAGAGGATGGAGACAGAAAAGAGAAGGTGGAAGAAAGTGAAGAGAGGTTTGCATCAAAGCAATTTTCACGGTACAGACGAAGCACCCACAAGGAAGAAGAAGAAGAAATGGATGATGATGCCATTATTGCTGCCTGGAGAAGCCGACAAGAAGAAACTAAGGCAAAGCTCCGGCGAAGAAGAGAGGAATGACTGAAGACAAAGTCATAAAGACACCATGAGGACTGAAGTGTTCGGCCCAGCAGGAGTCCCAGACACAAATGTCTCATCTGAATAACTCATCATTATATTTAAGATCATCCTTCATGATTTTCAGGGCACTACCGATGTCCTGCAGAAACTTTCTTCACCTTAATTACCAGAATAGGTCGAGGAAGGTTACCAAGAAGGCTAAGCATTTGAAGTGGTTTTGGTTTGTCAAAAAGAAGACGCTTGTGCTAAATCATTAGCGTAGGTGTGAACAAATCTTTAGGAGACATTTGTATCTGGAGAATATCTTAGTAACAATAGCAGGTAAAGCTATTCTGCCCTCTGGAACAGTACCCACCAGTCAAGAGTTTGGTCACATCTTGTTTTGATTATTTCACTTTTCAGCAGTCATTAAAGAGTCACTCTAGCATTATTTCTAGCTTTATTTTTATTATAAATGGGGGAATGGCAAACCAACAACCTTCTCTAGAAGCTTGGCAGTGTGTTTTTGTGTCATCAGCACTGCCTTTTTTCCATTTAGAAAATGTTGAGGGTTCTTTTTATTTTTAAGTACATTACTCCTTTTTTATTAAGCACAAGCTAATGTGGCTTTGTTATGTGTTCTTCAGCAGTGTCATGAATGTCAACAACAGAATTTGCTCCACTGAGTAGCTGCAGCAGAACAAAATATCCATTAAATGTAACTGTTGTGGCGATTTATATTTTAGGGGGTCTTAATTTATTTGCTATCAATTGTTTGAGATTAGGGGGAAGGAAGCTACTTTGAAATTCAAGGGAAGCTCCCTACCGAATATAGCATAAGGCCAAACTCTGAAATGACATATGGCAATGTCGGACCCTTTTTAAAATGACCATATCCAGGGTGGTAGATCTTGGCATATGTGTATAATAGAGCAAGGCCTGCCAACCAGAGGAAGGGGGAGTTTTGAAAGGGGCCCTGGGCTCCCCACTGCCACCTCTGCTGCAAGAACAGTGGCGACCAGAGCCCTGTAGTGCATTACACAGTATGATTCGGGAGAGCAGTGCAACGTTCCCTGAGCAGTGCTGAGGGCTGGCTGTCCCAGGCCCGCCCCTTCTGGGAGCATAGAACCAGCCCCCCTCAGGGACCTTGAGCTTGCCCAGGGACCCAGCAAGTCTGTTGGCTAACATAAACTATATAAAAACTTCAGAGGGGTAGCAGAGTTAGTCTGTAACAGGAAAAACTTAAAAAGTCTAGTAGCACCTTATAGACTAACAAAACATGTATGGTATCATGAGCTTTTGTGGTGTTACCAGCAAAGGCGCTCTAGTAAACCAATTTAGACTGGGCTTGCTGACTAGGTGGTAAATGCCTTTGTCCCAGAAGGCGATCTGGCCTGGAACCCACTGTATCTATCACCTGCGGATCTCTCAGATGTTAATAAACACTGACTCTGATCATTATGTTTGAAAAATGCAAAACTGTATTGAATACAACAGGTAATAAACACAACACTAAATCAATGACCAACCCCTCACCCTCTGAAAATAAAAGAGGACAGGAATGATATAATTGATGTTATACTCAGTCTGTCAGAGGCAGTTGATATTCAGGACCTACAACCCTTTAACTAAGGTAGCTGTCGGGAAGAGCACTGAGGTGTCCTTGGTGAAGTAGAGACGTTTGATGATGTTAGCCTCTGCTTGCATGGCTGACAGATGCGCAGTTTGTGAGATGTTAAACACCAGGAGGGCCTTCACCACAGCTGATGCCGGAGGCTCTATGCGGTCCCGATGACGTAGGATCGGATATCAAGTAGCTAGGGCTCACGATACTGGGCTTTCGCCACAGAGTGGGCCGAAGCACCCTGAGGGCGGCAGGAGTAGAACCAGACAGGTTAGACTGGGCCTTCACCATAGTCTCCTCTGTGACATGACGACTCCTTCTCCAGGTGTAGTGAGAAACTGCCGACCAGATCTCCTCAGACTTCTAGGTTTTATAGAATCCAAGGCGGGAAACTCCAATGGTCTTGAGTGCAAAGCAGGGCGTGGTGCTGTGTGCAAACACATGGTGCTGGGTGCAGACAACTGGTGCAGTGTGCATGGACACGTGCCATGTGCAGAGGATGTTTTGGTGGCAAAAAGTCCTCACAGTCTGTTGGGTTCCATTTTAAAGTCCCATCATGCACCACAACTCCATTTTGGATTGTCCTTTTAGATTCAGTCTCCATTTTGTTTCAGTGCATTTCTGTTAACATTAAATTCCTACTAACAGTGGGCACAACCCACTTCTTCATAGTAACAATAATGCTTCCTCCTTGTTAGACGTTTAATACGCTGATGCATGTGTCTGTGTAGTACTATTTCCCTTGACTAGATAGAATTAGGCCCTGTCCAATATGATTGTGTCTCCTCTAGTGGCCTGAGGTCTATAAAAGGAAAAAATACTCAATACTGCTGACTGCCTGGTAGTCTTAATAATGGATATTCTGATCTCATTCAAAAGGTAGAGGTCTGTTTTGGAGGAAAAGTTCTGAGTTCAATTTGACATTGCATGTATGAAGTTCAGCTGGTACCAGTCCATTATGTCTGCAGTCCTATTGTGTCTTTTTTATTATTTTTCAGCATTTTTGTCTTAAATAAAAGGGTGTTAACTCATGCCAAACTCTGGTAATAAACGAATAGGTGACTAATACATGGTGGAATGCAACATGCAAAGACTACGTACAGTACAAAGAGAAAAATTTACGTTTCTGTTAAATGATAGCTCTGTGGTAGTTTCACATTTATTTTCAAGAGATGGCAGTTTTAATTGGTCCAGAGGTTAAAGTCAGCATGTTCCATGTTCATTTACTTCAGAGACTCTGGTTCTAGTCCCTGCCATGGTCTGCTGAATCCTATGAAGTTCCATGTGACGAGACAGCTTGTCTAGACACCACTATAGGAGTTATTTGTATAGATTGTATATCATTGTAAGTCTCTGACACATCCAGAGACTGACTATTTGGCTGAATAATATAATACACGTTACCAGCCAATTTGCCATTTCTCCCTCAAATCTTACCTTAAAATATCTTTGGTCAGCTTTCCATCACTGATGTCCACACTGGAATTATCTGCTCCCTCTTCTATTAAGGTTATATTTTGAAACACCAGACACTTCCATAACTCCATTCCTGGAACTAAATACAAGCAGAAATCCAGGCAAAGACCTGTCATTGTTGTAATATTCTTCCCCCAAGAATAGCTTTTTTTGTCTGTGTCTTTTCATCTCATCTCCCTTTCTCTATGATATTGAGGGTAGATATTGTTATGATTTTTATCACTTCTCAGAATAGTAACTCTCTAATATGGATTGTAAGTTCCACAGGGCATGAACTTTATTGTCCTATTTCTCTGGGTGGTGCCATGCACATCAGCAGTGCTATCAAAATAATAATTAATGATAAAATGTATCTGTCTTTTTTATATTCAGTGGAAATGTAGAACCATTTCAATCAACCATCCCTCATTGATTGTACTTCTGGGTCTGTTGGATGTAAGGATCCTTATTTCTGACATCCACGACAAGGTTAACCAGTAGGGGGGTCAGTGCTCCAAATGAAAGGGATTCTCGGAATCAGATGATTAAATAATAACAGAAGGAGAGAAATATGAAAAGGAACACATTTTACTTATTTTGTTTCTTCACAATAAATTCAGATTACATTTTTCATTTAAACTGGATCCCAAGGCTGTCACAGAATTAAATTATTCAGGACAGAGGATAGTGTATGATCATATAACAAGCCTGAAATGCTCCACCCTATTAGCAAGTTTTGACCCTTCTGGGAAAGAATTAAGTGGGTTTTGCTGACTCATTGAGGTAGGTGGCTTATTACTGCTCTTGTATAAAAGGGAAATGGAAATAGCTGTCTGGGGAGAAACATTCTAGGTTGTGGGCTGAAGAGTCACGAGGGAGAAACCTGAAAAACAGCTGAACTTTGTTTTCTTATTGCTGCTATCTTTGTTAATAAATTCAAACCCCCAAAGCAGGAAGGGGGTGATTTTGGACTCTACACATTCTATGCACTGTGTTTGAGAGCAGGTTGGGAAAGGCTCCAGCTCACAGGTATAAATTACATGAACAGTGACATAAAGACCTTGCATGGTGAAAATATTAAAGCATTCCGTCATAAGGCCAATAACCAAGAGGGAGAGAAATGAAGAGTCTGGAAGAAGGATAGAAAAGTCAGGCTTTAAGATGAGAATTTAAACAGACATGAAAAAGAGAGATACACCAGACCTCTGCAGTTGGTATAAAAGCAACCAGAGTTTGAGAGGAGGCGGAGAGGTGGCTTGCCTCCCGTGGGGGGAGGGAGGGCAGAGTCCCAGTACAAGGGACAGGGCTGGGGGTGGGGCCGAGGGCTTGCCTCTCCCAATCCTACTTTCATCGACCACCCATGCCCAGAGCAGCCAGCAGCAGCTAACCGCAGTGGAGAAAGAGCTGCCATGCTTGGTCACAACACAGTGCTGATGGGGAGCTGACCTCTTCATAACTGATGGAGAATGTGGGCATCCCTCCCACCCCTGAAGAGCAGGAAGGACTGACTGACCCTGACAGTCAAACACCCTTGACCTAGAGATATGGGATGTTAGATAAGACAACATGAACTTAAAGTGTCGTCTTGAATGGATGAGCAAGAACTAGAAGCAGTAAAAGTAACAACTCATGCAGCAAAAGGCTGCCCAGGAGCAACAGCCAGTCAGGGATTTAGAGGCACAATAGCAAGAACAGCAATAAAAACTGATCCAATAGACAGTGGTCTTGATGCAGCCCAAAGTATGTCTGGGGCTTCTCTTCCAGGAGCTATAGGCCCGGGACCGGTAACCCCACCTGTGCTAGCGGAACTCACAAAAAATGGGCCTTAAGAACAACCTGGAGGCCTTCATGATAACATCTAAGAAAGTGGTGACAGCAGCCCAGTGGCCACCTGACCAGTGGGATACTCTGTTGACATCTTTCCTGATGGGGGACCAACACAGACGCCATGTCAGGGCCTGAATAGGACTATGCTTAGGTGAAATTGGCTTTTCTTGACTAACCTGACATCACAAAGGTGCCCTTCCAACAGAGGTTCTGTGGAGAGAAATAACCCTCGTGTGGGTGTCCAGAAATTAAGAGGCCTATGCTAGAGGTGGTTAATGCTGGAGACTTAGGTGAGTTGACTTAACTGAGCTCATTGTGGTGGAGCAATTTGCCCACATACTTCTAGATGGTTGTAGAAACTGGGTACTCAAACACTGGCCAGAGTCCCCAGGTGACACAGTCTAGCTGATGGAGACTGATTAGCAGTGGAGATAGCTCTGACTATGTCACACAAGAACTGGCTGAGGGCAAAGTGGCCCCTTAATTCAATGGCGAGCCCACCAGGAGAAGCAGCAATCAGACAGGGTGGTCTAAGAAGTGCCAGCCTATGAAGGGACCAGCAAACTGCTATGCCCTGAACTGGGCTATCATGGGAAATCTCAGTATCTTGATATGCTTTAAAGAAGGGCCTCGTCCAGCTCCTCATGGCCAAATCCAGACCCTCAAAGCATGCCCACATCCAGTCATAAAAAAGTAAGTCCAAAGGTTTTCGAGCTTCCCAGGTTACTACTGCTGATTTGTGCTAGGGTTTTTGTTGGCAGCAGCCTTCTCACAGACCTCATTAAGGACAGTGGCCCCAAAAGGTGAATGGGTCCCAGACCTGAGAAAAGGCCTTTAAGAAGGTGAAAGGATGCTTGTGTAAAGAGATTGTCCTGCTCATTCCTGAATTCTCAAATGAGTTCATTTTATAAACCAGTTCATTTTACAAACTGGTGCCTCCGAGGTGGGACTAGTTACATTACTGTCCCAGGAGACAAATGGAACGGAATACCCTGTACTCTATTTAGCTTCAAACTGTTCCATTCAGAGCAGCTCTATTCTGTGATAGAAAAGAAAGGTCTCAGTGAAATGGACCCTTCACTTGCTTCGATATTACCACCCTGCAAATCCTTCAAGCTCATCACCAATAATGTTCCCTTGATGTGCTAAATGCCATGAAGGACACAACTCCCTGGCTTATGTACTGATAACTGTTTCCCCAGGCTACCATATTCAATATAGAGTAGGAAAAGCTCACTAAAATTCTGAGGGTTTTTTTGTTTGTTTTTTGTTTTCTCCCCAGTGAATGAGGGGAATAACCCAAGGGTCCCAGTTCTCCAGATGCCATCTGTAGGGCGGTGTGATTGTGCTGGGGTTTACAAACCCACACTGAACAAAAAGGGGATTAAAGGAGGTGTTTGGGCTCAGTCTGCTCCACCCATCACACCTGCAAGACATGCACAGGCTGGAAGAGGAGTGAAAAGAGAAGCAGAACTGATTTGTGGGCAGATATGGGAAGAAAATGAGACCTTTAGCCCTCAGTTCCAGAGGAAAGGGCTGAGGGAAAACAGAATCTTTTTTCACAACTACCTGAGGTAAGGGAGGGCCTGATCCTGATCCCTCCCTCTCTTGTTAACAGTTTGCTTGTGTTAATTCCGCTTACTTTTTGTTTCTGGACCAACCTGCCAGGAGAGAGATGGAAGTGGCCAGATCAGAGAGCCCAATCACAGGAAGAGGTAGGTCACTACAGACCTGAAAGAGCCAGTGGCAATAGCTGCCATGCCTGGCCATGGTCTGATGAGGCACCAGTGGTGTGATGACCCCTAACATTAATTGAAAATAAAGAGATTCTCCAATTTCTGTGGGAGATGGAAGGTTGTGGGAAGGTCTGTAAAACATAGAAAGGTGATGGAACATTATCTGTGTGAGATGAAGAGGTGGTGAGATTAATGAAGATTATAGTTTTCTTAGGAAATATGGGAGATTGGAGTGGGGATGGTAGGAGAAGGTGAAGTTCATGGAGGGGATGTGGAAAGGTAGTGAAGTGACATCTAAGGGAGACTAAGAGGTTAGCAGTCGGAGGTGGCACTGGAAATTTTGGAATGTATAGAAATGTTGTAAGAAATCGCTGCTCTTTGTCTGTCTGCTCCACTCTACGATGGCTACAATTTTTCCACTTTCCATTCCTTTTTGGGTAATTTGCAGTTCTTCTTCCAGTGCTTGGTCATGTATTTCATTGTTAAGTGAGTGCTCATCAAATGCACCAGTACCAGAAGTATTTCTCTCAGGGATATCTGTAAGGGACTGGCTCTGACGCCCTTTGGAGTGGCATGCATATACCACAGTATAAGGAGAGCTGTCAGCTCCCCATACCCTCAGTTGTGTCTCACCACAAGTGACAGTTCTGGAACATAGAGCTGCTTGCCTCTACAGTGAACTAGTGGATGAGAAGTATAAGCTTGTATATTGTTAGAAAGTTGTTAGTTTTCATAGTTCCCCAGTGTAGCCTTAGTGTTAGTTTGTAGTCCTGAACAGCTCCTTAGGCTTCAAACCTTGTGACTGCTGCAAGAAACCCATGCCAGTGAGTGATCCCCACAGTAGCTGATGGAAGTGCTGAGGGGAAACCCAAATTAGCAAAATCTTCAAACTACAGACCAAAAAGGAACATCTCTGAGCGGTCGTTACCTAGTTGACCCTTACACCAGCCTGTGAGCCAATCAGATTGGACTCCACTCCTGACATTGTGGCCTTGGCGTGAAGTGTCCTAGCAACACCAGTCTCAGATAGGCACTGGTCATCATCCCCACTACTTGCTATAAAAGCAACATAAGGCTGGGAAACGACATTTTCCTATGTCCCATAAAGAGGTGGAGAGGGGCAGGTTTTTCCCTCCAGATGGATGTTAGGCCCCAACTCCCAGTAGGTGAACTAACCCAAGACCTGCCTGCCGCCCTGAGAAGCAGCAGAGCCACTCGACATCAAGCAGTGCTATCTACGCTTGGAGGCCTTTGAGGCCACAAAGGACATTCAGTCCCCCTTGCTGCCCACACCAGCCACAGAGGTGCCCTGCTGAAGGGGTAAACCTACCTTGGGACCCTTCCAACAGTCCCCATCAGCGCGACACTGCTCCTCACCTCAGGGACTGCCCCATCAGTGCTTAGCTGAGCAGTGCCACCAGGCCCTAGACAAGGGCTGGCTTACCTGCCAGAGTTCCTGGTGTCGGTCCTCACACTCCCAGCAGCATTCCTTGGACTCAAGATGGAGATCACCACTGGGCTGGTCCAGATCCCCAGA